AGCCAACAAACCCTAGAGTATTCCAGATATGGGAAAACTCTGATATAAATGTATTTTGAAAACAAAGTTGTAATGTTGTGATGAATTCGACATGTTTTGAAAGTTTAAATTTGGCTTAAATTTTTGGGTGTTACAGTTATGCTATGGGTGGGGCCCATTTTATATGTATGTGGTATGTGGTATTTAGAGGAAACTCACTATGCTTTGTGCTTACAGTTTTATGTTTGTAGTTTCAGGTACTTCTGGTTTGAAAGGGAAGGGCTCGACTTAACCGCATCGAATCCACCATTATTCTGCATTTCACGACTTAATTTGTACTTTGATAACTATTTTTACATTATCACATTTTGACGAGTTTTGGAATGAATGAATGATGTTTATATTAGTTTATGTTGGATTAGTGTCTAAGTCCATAACTATTTTGGTATGTACTTGACCCGATGGTGCATGGTCCTTTTGGGTTGCCTTCACCAAAACAACTTGATAGGATGAATTATGGAGAGATAGGATTAAATATGATTTATTAAAATATTATGGGAATATTATATTAAAGGAGAAATCATATTGTTTAATTAATATTAGTCAATAATTAATTAGTAATTAGTTTTGTGACTAAAAGAGATTAATTAAACTTAAGGGACTGGAATTGTAATTATAAGATAATTATAATTTGGGCCATGGATTGCCTTATATGATAAGGTGGATGAATTCTATGGGGAAGCCCATATGAAATCATCCAAGGCCTTAATTAGAAGGGTCCATGGGTTGCTAAAGGCTTAAGCATCCAAATTAGGGTTTCCTTGTTAGATAACCCTAATAGCCCAACTATATAAAGACCCCTTAAGGCTCAAAAACGTGGTTAAGCTTCTTGTTAGGGTTTCTACACGTTTTTTGTAGCCTCCAACCTCTCTCCTCTTCATCCTCTTGCTTATGGTGTTTGTGAACCATTAGAGGAGTGACACTTGTGACTCTAAGCCTTCCAAAGTCAATTCAAGGTGGAATTGGGATTGTTATTGCTACATAACAATCAAGGTAACATCTTAAACCCAATTATATGTTAATGTCGATTTCCATATGCTAGAATTAGGGTTCATAGTCTTGGATTCAAAGCATGTACAATAGAGAAACCTAGATCCAAGCTTTAGGGTTTGTATGAGCACATAGGACGTCTTATGACCAAAACCCATCAGTGGTATCAGAGCCTAGCTTGGTTTCAATTGTATTGATGCATTGTATAACTGAAAAAAATCGTTTTTTGGTGTTATGGAGGCTGGACTCGCCGAGTCCATAGCTGAACTCGCCGAGTCCTTGCAGACTCGACGAGTCCAAGCCTGACTCAACGAGTCAGCTCGTAAGAAGGAGGGAATTTCGGGTTTTCTTGCTGTTTTTGCATTAGGATAGTTACCTTATCATGTTAGATCAATATTAATCCGATTATATGATATATTTGACTATATTTTTGATCTAAATGAAGATATTTATCAATTAATAAGATAATTGTTTCCTTATAAGATAATTGATTAATTATTTTGAGTAAATTGATAAATTGTTTTGCAAGAAATCTTAAATAAATCAAATATGGATAATTATGTTATTAAATGTTAATTTAGAATTATGTGTTATTTGATCCTTGTTGTTATGAAAAGTTTCATATTTCCCCTTTAGGTTTTATAGTTTAAATTTGAACCTAAAAGTTTTGTTGTTTTGAAATTTAAATAGTTGAAACCCTAATGTTTTGAAAAAGGTTTCAAAACTTGTCCTCAAGTTTTGGAATTTAAATTTTGATTAATAGTTTAATTGTGATATATTTAAATTCTAAACCCTAATGTTTTGAAATGTTTCAAAACTTGCCCTCAAGTTTTGGAATTTAAAAGTTGATTAAAAGTTTAATTAGGACTGTTAAATTCTAAAACCCTAGTAATGTTTTGAAAAGTTCAAATCACACCCTTATGGTTTTATTAATTAATTAAGGTGTATAATTAAAAGAAGTTTAATAAATCCATAAAAGTTTAGGTTTACAATTTAATTGAATTAAAAGTATAATTGTTAAATTTGATCACCTAATATTTTAAAAGTGTAAAATGCACGCTATACTATATATAACATTAAAAGTCTAACATTATATATATGTATGAGTAAAAGTCAGTCTTACCGTTAGTAGGCCTCATTCACGAAGCTGGTCTATAAGGGGTGTTTAAGGAAATTGCCTATAATATGGCGATTGAATGGCTATCCACTCTTACCCACCGCACTCTTGACTAGTGGAGAGTCGTTAGCCGAACGGGTAGGATAGGACGAAACCTTCCATTATAAGTATAATGAAATACAAAAGTAACTAAATGTTTTTACAAATTCCCAATCTTAGTTACTTAGGCAAAGTGAATTGATGCAATTCCATGAAATTACACTTTGTACCCTTGCGAAGACGTTAGTGGAGCGTGTGTGGCTTACCGAACACACTAAATGGTTCTAAACAAAGGTAGCAAAGGGTGACTCAATGTTTGTCATAGTTCGGTGGGGCGTGTGTGGTTTACCGGCACATCGAATAGGTGACTGTAACATGTGAGGGCACCATGTAAGTTTGCATGGTTATTCACACTCGCTTTGTGATCCTCGGCATCCCAGTCACAAACAAGAGGGGCATATCGAGATTTAAACATGCCATTGAAATGTTCAATGAATCTCAAAGGTTCTAGGAGTTTTCATAGATCTAAAACTTAAATTTTTTAGTTTTTCATGGTGGAAATTAGTGAATCGTCATTCACTTACCTTCAAATATTCTGTAACTAGATTACGGCATCCCTTTTCTAGGTTGTAGCGTATTGTGTTGGGTCCTAGCCTTAGTATCTCATTTGGGTGATTTACTAAGGACTCAATCGATCAACTAACTTGAATTTGTTTTCTCCCGTTTTGTAGATGTTAAAGTTCGACAACTATGGTCTTCCCAAATCCCGTGGAACAAGCATTCTACATGAAGATGGTATTCCACGATTCGATCGAGGAACAAGAAATCATGCTTCACTTCCTCCACCTCCTCCAATTGTTCTCCCTAACCCACAAGATTGTAAAATTGAAAGGTTCAATATCACTCAAGCCCTTTTGGCAAGTAAACATAAGGAAGGAAAGTCGGTGTGTGCACACGTCTTAGGGATGAAGTCACACATTGATAGGATGGCTGTTGATTGGGTTCTTCAGTCACTTCCTAACTCGTATAGTGAGTTCGTAAGAGAGTACTGTAACATACACGTTTTAAAATCGTGTTTTGTAATGAATAAAATTGTGAAATATTATGTAAAATTGAGTGTTGAGTTCTAACAGATGGTTTTTACTAGAGATGAAGTAAAACTATGTTTAGAATCACTCAGAAAATATTGGAAGTCTTATGAGATTCAAATTAAAAGCCAAATAGTGAAATATAGCGAAAATATGAAATTTTAAATAAGTAAAATTTTATTATTTGATGTTGTAGAGAATCTCGTTAGAAATTTGTAGGCGAAAACCTCGTCAAAATCCGAGTTATAACGAAGAAGTTACGACCAACCGAAGATCCGCGACAAAACCGGCACGGCACCGAATGACGTAAAAAGTGAGTTTTTGATAAACTACTTTTTAGCCTTAGTAATCTAAATGAAAGTCGTAGTATTCGTTAAACCGAGAAATTCGATAAAAAGAACGCTAAAATCTGACTTCGTATGAGGAAGTTATGATTTTTCGAAGTTTCAACTTAGCAGTAGACAGCTAAAAACTCGAATTTTAGATCGAGCGATATTTTACCGATACATCCTAAACGAGAATCGAAGGTCTCATCATAGGTAGTACAACAGTAAAAAGTCTGACAAAAACGGATGTCGGATGAAGAAGTTATGAATTTTTTTAACGGATTTTCCTGTCCCGGTTTGTTAAAAATAATAATATTAAATTTAAATTCAAATATAGCCGACGAAGTCTAAACAAAAGTTGTAGAGCATGATTTTAGCTACGCGTGCATATAAAGAACGTCAAAAACGGAGCTCGTATGCGAAAGTTATGGATTTTAGAAGTTCGGAGCACGAAAATTGGAAATTTTCGCATGAATAGTAACCGGCCACGTCACCTCGCACGAAGCAGGTGCGTCACCGGAGACGTGGCCCGGACCGAACTACTTCGTTGCCTGCTTCCGGAAGCCTGACGCATGCCGCTCAGCCATTCGACCGAAGTGCGAGCCAATAGGCTTCCGACGTGCCTCGCCCTCGTGTCCGAGTCTCGCACATCCACGTCGCGCCTACCAGCTTCGCAGCCGAACCTCGCATCCGAGCCTCCTTCTCGCGCCACCTGCTTCGCTATGCTGCTGCCACTGAGTTTCGCTTCTTAAGCCGACATCCGAACCTCGGCCCTATATAAAGGGGCCTGCGAACCTTTCCGACTAACTTTGAAAATATGACACTTTTAGCCCCTCTTTCCATATTTTCTTCATATTAACTTTCCCCGAAGCCCCGAAATCAATTTTAGCACCCGAAACACGTCCCGAGACCCCCGAGAAGCCCAAAAATTTTATCTTTTCGGTTTTGAAGCCCTACCTTCGCAGAGCTCGGTTTTCAAACAAACTTCCGGTTTTCAACATAGAAAGGCATATTTAAAGCCGAAGTGCTGTCCAAATTACTATTTTAACCCCCGGTTAACTTAAGGTGAGTTCAATATATAGAAACAATTGTATGTTATGTGTTATATGTGTTATGTGCTTTTCAGTATTATCATTCTGAGTTATTTTCTTGTGTTATTCGCTATGTTTATAGCAATTGTAATACCTTTGACCATGTGACCAGTGAAAGGACTTAGATTCAAATTGGTACTGGTACGTAGCCTCTGGCCATGTAGAGCATGTCTCCGTAAGAGAATGACTTCTATTCTATGGCATTGGCATATGGTTAGACAGGACTATTACCAGAATCTTCAATTCAACATTCAACTTTTTTTTGCAATATCTCAAAACAAAATCTTAATTTTCTCTCCAGTTCTTCAACATGTTCAAGATCCCAGATCACCAAGTTGCAGGACACGTGGCGGGAGCTGGGAAACTCGGTCCTCTTGTGGATGATTCAGGTCGTTTCTACAAGCCACTCCAAGATGGAAAACGTGGAACAGAAGAAGTATCTTTCTATGAATCCTTCTCTTCCAACACTCAAATCCCAGAAAAAATCCGTAAGTTCTTCCCTATCTTTTATGGCACCAAGATCATGAAAGCATCAACTGGAATCGAACACCCTCACATAATCTTACAAGATCTTGTTTCATCTCGCTTGTCACCCTCTTTAATGGACATCAAAATCGGGGCCAGAACGTGGGCCCCAGAAGCTTCTGAAGAATACATTACAAAATGCTTGAAAAAAGACAGAGAAAGCACAAGTGTTTCACTTGGATACAGACTTTCAGGGCTTCGAGTCTTTATAGGTGATGAATTAGGGTTTTATAAACCTGAGAGAGATGTGATGCGTAAAGCTGGACCAGATGATGTTAGACTGTTTCTTATGAAATTTGTTTCATCTAACCTGGAATCGGGATCGGAATCGGAATCGGAATCAAAACCGGATTGTTCTTTGGTAGCTTCTGTTTATGGTGGAGATAATGGGATTTTGTCACAGTTGTTGGAACTGAAGGCATGGTTTGAGGATCAAACTATGTATCATTTCTATGCTTGTTCGTTACTTTTCATGTTCGAAAAGGGGTTGACATCAAACCCAGAAGTCAAACTTATCGATTTTGCACATGTTGAAGAAGGAAAAGGGGTTATAGATCATAACTTCTTGGGTGGACTTTGTTCTTTGATAAAGTTCATATCTAAGATACTTTCAGACACAAATGATCTCAAGAATGGTCTGATTGAGCCTTAGCTGACAACATTTGAACTTTTAATTCCCACTTTTTCATAATTGTCAAGACGATGTATTTCCATTTCATTTGAACCAAGATTTGCTTACTGTATGAACCTTTTTTTATATATCTGATTCTATTAAGTAGGTATATATTGTATGAAAAGCACAAACATATAAGAAAGAAACTAATATCGATAAAAAAAAAACATTTTTTTATTTTTTATTTTGACATCTTTAGTTATAAAAAAAATCTAGTGGATGGAGCCCATTTGTTGAATATAATTAAGATAACAACATGATATCTTTCTTGATAGCAATACAGACATTCTTGAAACTTAATCCAACATGAAGACTAGTAGATGCAACATTACGTTTATAAGTACCCAATTTCATATTTCAAAAGAAGAAAGCCTAATAAACTCCAAAAAAATGTCAAACTTAAATCTTCTCTTCACCATTACCATTCCCTTGTTATTCAACTTCTATATTTCACCCACAAACAACGATAAACTCCAAGACATGTGCCCAACCGACACCTACTCTCATAGAACCATGTTCATCAATGGCTTCCCTTGCAAAAACCCATCAAACATTACAACATCCGATTTCAAAAATTTACAATTAAGCCACCAAGGTAGCACCGATACGTTCCTACGCTCGTCTGTAACCCTAGTCACTGCTTCTGAGTTCCCGGGGCTCAACACTTTCGGGTTATCAACGGGTCGAACCGATTTAGAAGTTGATGGGTTAGTGACGCCTCACACGCACCCAAGGTCAAGTGAAATGATATTTTTGGTAAAAGGCGTTGTGATTGTTGGGTTTATTGATACGGATAGTAAACTTTTTCAAAGCATTTTGAGGGAAGGTGATGTGTTTGTGTTCCCAAAAGGATTGTTGCATTATTGTATGAATAGTGGGTTTGAAGATGCGATGTTTTACTCGGTGTTTAATGCGCAAAATCCAGGAGTTGTTGATATATCGAATGCTATGTTTGGGGATAAAGCGTCTGAAATGGTGAAAATGGCAATGGCGAAATTGGTTTCGCTTACTAAAGTTGAAGATGTTCGTGTGGATGATGGTTATAAGAATTTTTATGATGAACTTTAGAATTATAATGTTGGGTTTGGTTTTTTTGGATTTTGGTGCTTATAATGTGTCATGTGTGTGTATATGAATGGATTGATATATTGGCATATGTATATACTTCTTAAAATGAAATACTTCAATTTATTGAATTTGTTTCGAGTTTATGTGGTTGTAGATTGTATTCGGTAGACTGAATCATTTAATATTAATCAGTTAGAGGTTAGGTATTACCGTTTTAGAAGAAAATGCTAATAATTTGGATAATTTCCAAGTTTTGCACAAATGATTTTAGGTGTGAGCATCCAGACCGATGGACATTGATATTGGTTTTAAGTTGTCGGGCCGGTTATTGGTTATTGGTTTTACACTATATTGGTTCCGGTTTTTTACCGTTTCGGTTTGTCGGATCCTGTTTTATGCAAAATTTAGGGAACTTCAATTTGAATGAGTTTTTAAATTTTCAAACGATTTTTCGAAAAGAAGTGTTTCAGATTTCGAATGCACCAGATACCAGAGAAGAGATATTTTAGGAGTACAAGTTGGGTCAAAATTGATGAAAATACTAATTCAATCCTTAAAAATAAGAAAATACTAATTTAAATGTGTTTTTAATACTTATATCCCTAACATTATTATTTGTAAGATATATATTATAATATTATTATATTAATAGTTGGTTGTACTTTAAATTTAAAGATTTGAACATCTTAAAAAAATATTATTATTATATTGATTCTATTTATAAAAATGATAAGCTTAGTATATATATATATAAAGAGAAGTGTCACTCATGAATTAGCTTTGTCCTAGTGATTTCAACTTGATAGAAAATTTAAATGTTTATCCTAGTGTGACTGGTCCTAGTAATTGAAAAGAGAAAACATCCTCCTTCTGTATTAAAAAACAGATAAAACACTTATTTGTAGAATTACACGTAGGTTCCTCCGCCATATTTTTTTCGTATAAGTCATTTCATTATCTAACAACTTGCCAATATTATAATACTACTAAAAATATTAATCATGAATCGTCTTTCATAACATGAAACTCAAAGGATACTCTGTTATAGTAAAAACACTTGTGCAAAATAAATAATACTATCCATTAAATTCATTTCCTGCCAGGCCCAGCCCATAACAATACTTTCAGCAGGCGGGAAATTACGCTTGATTAGCGGGAGCATGACGCCCGCAGTTACAACTTACGTCGATGACTCGTCGATTTCAAACGAAATCTTCTACCTCCATTAATTCTCAAACCACAAGGTCCTGCATCTGTTCTACAAGCTATTTTCTCAAATATGTTTAATTTCAGGTTTATTATTTGAATTTGATTTGTCTGATCATCTTAGGGCTTATAACTTCATTTTTATTATTCCATTTTTCGTCTGCTTGATTAATGATTTCTTCGGTTTATATGTTTTGGTTATGCTTTGTTTGAACCTTTTTTTTTTTTTTTTTTTTTTTTTTTTTATCGTCCGAGCAATTTATTTCTGTTAGTGTTGAAGTGTTTAAAGATCGTAAGGTTAGAGCTTCTCATGACAGTCGTAATGAAGCTTAGTTTATGTAACAGATTGATGAAGAAATCCAAGCGAACACACGCACCAAAGCGTGAAGATGGGGATGATATAATCAGTAAATTACCTGATCATATTCTCCTCTTGATTCTTTCACTTCTTCCAACCACCGAAGAAGTAATTCGAACCCGCATTTTATCTACACGATGGAGGCATTTGTGGACTTCAATTCCCTCTCTAGACATAGATTACTCCCGACGACATAAACCCCCAAAAACATTCAAAAAGAACAAATTCAAAAAGTTTGTTTTTTGGGTTTTGGCAAACAGATCCTTCGATTTAGACAGCTTTCGATTATGCTGTTCAAATTACTACAGTATGTCAACAATAGCGCAATGGATTAACATCGCCATTACCAGAAACGTGAAACAACTTGAGTTGAGGTTTTGCCCTAGAAAGAAGTCTGAGGATATCGAGTTGCCTCATTCTCTGGTGACTTGTGGTTCACTGGAGATACTAAGGTTGTTTTTGTCCACACATCGTCTAAGTATGCCTGGTTTTATAGGGTTTCCAGCACTTAGGGTTCTTGAGTTGAACAATGTTGAGTTATTCCACAATGATTTCCTTCAAGATTTTCTCATAAACTGCCCATTGCTGGAGGATTTGAGTTTGATAAACTGTTTGTTAGACAAACTTATCTTTCTTGTTATAAACTGTCCAAAGCTCAAGAATTTGAGAATTGATAATAGGAATAAGGCTGAGTATTTGAACAGATTTGAATATGTGGGGTTGTGTAGTTTGGTTATGCTTTTCTGCCCAAAACTGGTGTCTTTGGAGTTTGGAGGTCATATAGCTGATAAATTTTTCTTTCAAAGTCTTGATTCCTTGAAGAAAGCTGTAATTCACTCTGAAGATACACTGCTGGATGAGTTTACTTTTGACCCAATAGGTGACACCATTCGTGAGCTGTATGCTGGAATTTCTCATGTGGAGTCTTTATCGATTAGCCATCATTTTGTTCAGGTAGATGCTTATTCCTTTTTTGAATGAGAGGGTAAAATGGTCATTTTGTCTCATTAAACCACTTTACCTATGAAGAACTTAATGAAAGAAAGAAAACCCGAAAAAGCCCTAATTGTCCCTGAATTATGATATAGGCGTTGCATCTCCCTGTATCTCTACCTAATTTGAAGACTTTGGAGATAACAATTGATGCCCTCATCATGGATTCAATCATTGAATTTCTTAAATGTCTTCCAGATTTGGAATCTCTCCATTTAATCGTTGAACAGGTATTCTCATATCATTTTTTTAAATACATTTTTCAAGAATTCAAAACTTATGCTTTTGTTTGAATGATCTTAGCGATTTTTTACATCAAGATTTGGGGACTTAGATCAAGAAGACAGAAGAAGAATCTTGACTTGTCATCTGAAAAAAATTGAGTTTCTTGAATTTGATGGAGAAAATACAAAACTAGAAGTAGCAGCTTTCTTATTGGCTCATGGAGATGCAATGGAGGAAATGGTGTTCAGTTGGAGTAATGAAGCTAAGTATGATGCTTTGTCTATGGAGAGTTTGAAAAAAGTGTCAAATTTTCACAAGGCTTCTTCAAATGTCAAAGTGATTACTCTTTTAAGGACTGATGCTGCAAGATTTTCTGATAATATGTAATGTAAGTAAGTAGCTAACTAGATTTCTTGGTTTCATGTGGAGTTGGATTTGGATTTTTGCTTCATTTTCACTTATTATTAGAAAAATATTTGTTTTTTTGTCCTTTTTAGAATGATGTCTGTGATGATTCTGACTTTCTGAGTAGGGAATTTTGTTGGGAGATGTATTAAGATTTGGGTTAAATGCATAGCATTAATTAGGTCGAATTTTATAATATTCAATGTAACTTTGTCATGTAAAATTGAAACCTATATATATATATATATATATATATATATATATATATATATATATATATATATATATATATATATATATATATATATCATTTTGACACAATATGGGGAACATTCAAGAAAGTATATTGTTTAAATAAAATAATACATTATCTTACACAGGAATTCGTTCCCAAGTTTAACAAAAGAAAAGAAGAGAAAATAAGAGAAAAAAAGTATAAAAATTTCTTTCGTGTTTCTGAGTTTGAGAGAAGTGGAAGGAAAATGAATCACTTTGTTCTTTTTTTCCAAATCCTCCTAAAATTGAAAGGAAAGTTAGGAGAGAAAATGGTCATCTCATTTCTTTTGCTTCCTTCCACTTTCCTTTTTTAATGAAACTCAAGAACATTAATTTTTTTTTTTTAATTTTATTCTTATTTTCACCAATTTCCTTTCCTTTCTCTCGTTAAGTTGAACTTGGGAACGGGGTGTAATAGTTTATTGTCATATACATTATCTTACATAAGAATCAGCTAAGAGCCATGAAGACTTCTTACGAATAGTTTATTGCTTGGTTCCACTAGTGACGATTAGGTTTAGAAGCAATGAGACTCCACAAGCCAATAGGAAATAAGTTACCTAATTAATCATCGACACCTGATATATTTCCACCAATTGATTGACTTTATAAGCAAATATTTCCAGCTTCGATAAGGTTATCAACAACAAACAAGCATGGGGGCGGAGGCATGAGTGGGCAATCTTGTCTTAATACCAAACAAACCTACGTGGGGTTAGAGTTGTTTTGTGACTAAGCAGTTGTAGCTTATATATAAGTTGCAAGGGATCACATCTTAATTGCTTAATTCCTTATGGAACTTTTGTTCTCCCTTCTTCCCTAAGGAGGATTGAAATTCTTAACCCTTCTAGGATTTGTAGATTTTTTGATCTTGTTCTTTTTTTTTTTTTTTTAATTAAGTTTGTGCTTTTGGTGATCTTGGTGTAATACCATTAAAGAGATTCTGGTTTGTGTCCTTTCATCTCGACAACGTGGAAAAACAAGGTCTTAAGCAAGGAGATCATTAGAATCAAAAGCGGTATGTACATTCTCACATTATTATAGTAGTAGTTGCAATAATAGTATAAAACTTAGATCCTCTAAGTTGTATGAACCTATAGGAATTTTATTATACTTCTGCTATTAGATTCACATGTTTAAATTGCTAGAAAACATATCACTTTGGCTAACGGAAAAGATTTTAGATTCCATGTTTTATGTTTTATTCTAAAGAAAAAATGTTCTCCCTCATCATCTTTATTTCTTTTAGGATTCATCAAATTAAAACATATTATCATCATCTCTTCTAATATCCATCTATCCATCCACCCACCCCAACCTACATACACTACACCTACAAACCCATGCCCACCCCACCCTAACAAATTTGTATCGTTATATACCAAATACACAAATAATATGTAATTGTAACCGATGGCGTATGCAATTGTATACCAGCTGAACTACCTGTCTACCTCCTCTATACCCTATGTTTAGGAATGGCAATGGGGCGGGTTCGGGGCGGGGCATGGATTCCCAAACCCGCCCCGATAACTTTCGGGTATCTTATCGGGGCGCCCCATTGGGTTTCGGGTATCTTATCGGGTTTACAACAACTGATAACGAAATCTTTATTCTCTTTTAGGGTACCCCAATGTCTTATAAAATATACATGTTCTAGCAACTCTTTTAAATTAAAAACATGATGCATCACTTTAATAAAATAAATTAGACGTTATATAAAAAATTATTTGATTTAAGTTTTGTTTAATACGTCAAAACACATAAAAATGATCATTAACACCAGATTGTTAATAACTAAAAAAATTGTCCACGATAAGTATTTAATATTTGAACGTGTACAATTAACAGCAAATTTTTTTGAACATATTATATATATATATATATATATATATATATATATATAATCGGGGCGGGGCGGGACGGGGCAAGGTTAACCCACTCCCTGCCCCGAACCCGATAAAAAACCCGATAACGACCCGTTACCCGATCCGAAATGATCGGGTTTCGGGTTTCCCCGTCGGGTTCGGGTTTTTTTTGTCATCCCTACCTATGTAGCTATGATGCAAAAATATTTCCAAAAAAGCATTACAAACATATTACAAGAAAACTTCTACGGTTAATAAAAAAAATGAGAACGCTCAAAAAGCTACAAAAGCATTATCATTACTTTCTTGGGAAAGGAGTGAATTTTATGTCTCTTTAACGTAAATTAAAAAAAGAACTACATGAATAATAAAATTAATTAATTAATAAATTTATAAGAGCACAATAGTCCTTTCAAGTTAGATGATGCTTCAACAAAGTTTCCTAGTATATATATATATATATATATATATATATATATATATATATATATATATATATATATATATATATATATATATATATATATATATATATATATATATATATATATATATATATCATTCTCCTATTGTAAACGAAATTTCATGATATATGTCAATGAAATACAATGGTGGGAAAAAGTGATTAACATGTAAATGATTAATTGTTTAATATATTAGTCATGGTTTTTGATTTAATACATTTAGTTATTTTATACAAATTAAATTAACTAAAAAATCGAAAACAAAACACAAACATATACAACTATCCAGATTATATGTATCTATACATAATTATATATTTTTGGTTAATTTAAACTCTTGAAATCAACATAACATTATTTTTTTATAATTTATAATTTATAAAAATATCTGACTATTTAATATAAAGTCTAATTACGGATAACTAATTCTTATTTGATAACAATATTTTAATATAATAATAAATATTTTCCACAAAATTCAAAATTTATTTTTATAATATATATTTTAAAATTTAATATTTGTATGTATAATTTATTTATGAAGTAGGAGTTGGACCCTCACATGTTGCAGTGAGATCCTAGATTAACGATGAATCATGTTATTTAAATTTAAAAAGTACTATATTTCTTACCTAAAAATATTATTTGCAAAACATATTCATTTTAAATTTAAAAAGTACTATATTTCTTTACACACAACACAAGGTTAAATAGTTTATTGAATTTGACAATACATTATATCCACACATACATTAGAGGTGAACTGGTTTTTCTATGATGCTAAGTTAGAGGCAATTCAATATTTTAATATCATGTAAAAAAATATATATTCGTAAAAAAAACTAATTTTATAAAAACATTTCGTATAAAGTAACGTTGTAAAAAATTATGTTTTATAAAAATCAAATTTTAAAGAATATGTAAAACGAAACTTATAAATAGATCTAAGGAAATTTTTTAAAAGAAATTTGACTTAATATCCTAATAACAACTGAAGTTGGGCTAAGATGTTAATTAAAAAAAAAAAAAAAAGGGGGGGGGGGGAGGGGGGGGGGGGGAACAAATCCTTAACAGATTAAAAATCCTCGCCAAAAATGTATTAGAAGGAGGGACCATAAAGAAAGAGCAATCAAATACCTAACAAAAACTAAAAGAGTAAATTACACGAATAGCCCCTATGGTTTGCAGTAGTTTATACGTTTGGTATTTAACTTATTTTTTTTAATTTCAAAGGTCCTTACTATTTGTTTTTGTTACGCAAGTGGTCCGTACTGTTTGTTTTTGTTACGTGTTTGGTCCCTATTTTACCTAGAAATATTATTATTTAAATAGAAAACAATGATAACATAGATACAATAAGGTGAGAGATATGAGGTTAGGGTGTATTTATTTAAATAAATTAAAAAATCAAAAGAAAAATAATATTTTTAGGTAAGACAGAGATCAAGCACGTAAAAAAATAAAAAGTAAAGATATTTCAAGTTAAAAAAAATAAATTAGAGAACAAATATGTAATTTACCCTAAACCATAGGGATCATTCGGTAACCAAAATCTTTAAAAAAAAAAAAGGTTAAAACTGTAAAAATGGAAAGTAGGTGACCAAAATAGTAAATGATATTATAAATGTCGACGGCCAAAAGTGTAAAATGAAAAAGCAAGGGACCATAAAATAAAAATAAAGGATCAAACATGTTACCGTTCAACAAGTTGGTAGAATATATCGAAGGATGGTATTCTGAATCAACGGGCTTGTACCTGTTTGCGTCTTTGCTACCGTTCATTCAAATCCATTCACGTTCTCTCTCCATCTCTATCAAACCTCGCAAGAAAAGAATTATTTATTTTTTAGGTAATCAATCAACAATTTTCGCCTATTTTGTATACTGCATTCAATGCTTAATATATTTAGTTCGTAGTTAATTGAATTCGGCGTTTGATTTCCCATCCATTGGTGCTGATTAATTCCCGAAAATATCATTGATTGGGGTTTCGTTCGTGCATTGTAGAATAAACATAATTTGACGTTATATTTCTCTTTTAGAGTTGGAGTTCGTGTAGAAATCATGGATTCTCATCTTTATGTTGACTATGAGTTTTTTAGGGGGGGCAATCGATCAGTCTTATATATCTCTTTAACGTTAATGGACGATCAGCGTAATGCATACCATATGTTCGACTATATGTTTGAGTCAAATTGATTACGTTCTTATAAGTTATAACTGTTGTTTTGATCATAAAGTACTGTAAGATCTTCAGAAGCACATGAAATAGGCGAAACTTTTACATTCAATCAACCAAGAGATGAAAAACATGAATTACATGTTTTGAAATACGATTGTAAACCTAAAGTTGAATTCAGAATTTCAGATCTGATGTATGTCGACTAGATAAACAGTTGACCACCTAAAAAGTTTTATGAAGCATATGTTCTCATTCTCTTTGTTTAGTGGACCTTTCAAACGCTATTACAACTTGCAATTTGTTTCAATACCAGAATCTTAACATTCAACTTTTTTTTGCAATATCTCAAAACAAAATCTTAATTTTCTCTCCAGTTCTTCAACATGTTCAAGATCCCAGATCACCAAGTTGCAGGACACGTGGCGGGAGCTGGGAAACTCGGTCCTCTTGTGGATGATTCAGGTCGTTTCTACAAGCCACTCCAAGATGGACAACGTGGAACAGAAGAAGTATCTTTCTATGAATCCTTCTCTTCCAACACTCAAATCCCAGAAAAAATCCGTAAGTTCTTCCCTATCTTTTATGGCACCAAGATCATGAAAGCATCAACTGGAATCGAACACCCTCACATAATCTTACAAGATCTTGTTTCATCTCGCTTGTCACCCTCTTTAATGGACATCAAAATCGGGGCCAGAACGTGGGCCCCAGAAGCTTCTGAAGAATACATTACAAAATGCTTGAAAAAAGACAGAGAAAGCACAAGTGTTTCACTTGGATACAGACTTTCAGGGCTTCGAGTCTTTATAGGTGATGAATTAGGGTTTTATAAACCTGAGAGAGATGTGATGCGTAAAGCTGGACCAGATGATGTTAGACTGTTTCTTATGAAATTTGTTTCATCTAACCTGGAATCGGAATCGGGATCGGAATCAAAACCGGATTGTTCTTTGGTAGCTTCTGTTTATGGTGGAGATAATGGGATTTTGTCACAGTTGTTGGAACTGAAGGCATGGTTTGAGGATCAAACTGTGTATCATTTCTATGCTTGTTCGTTACTTTTCATGTTTGAAAAGGGGTTGACATCAAACCCAGAAGTCAAACTTATCGATTTTGCACATGTTGAAGAAGGAAAAGGGGTTATAGATCATAACTTCTTGGGTGGACTTTGTTCTTTGATAAAGTTCATATCTGATATACTTTCAGACACAAATGATCTCAAGAATGGTCTGATTGAGCCTTAGCTGACAACATTTGAACTTTTAATTCCCACTTTTTCATAATTGTCAAGACGATGTATTTCCATTTCATTTGAACCAAGATTTGCTTACTGTATGAACCTTTTTGTATGAAAAGCACAAACATATAAGAAAGAAACTAGGATCGATAAAAAAAACATTTTTTTATTTTTTATTTTGACATCTTTAGTTATAAAAAAAATCTAGTGGATGGAGCCCATTTGTTGAATATAATTAAGATAACAACATGATATCTTTCTTGATAGCAATACAGACATTCTTGAAACTTAATCCAACATGAAGACTAGTAGTAAAGCTAACTCCAAACCCAAAGTATTTCTTCCTTTAGATGCAACATTACGTTTATAAGTACCCAATTTCATATTTCAAAAGAAGAAAGCCTAATAAACTCCAAAAAAATGTCAAACTTAAATCTTCTCTTCACCATTGCCATTCCCTTGTTATTCAACTTCTATATTTCACCCACAAACAGCGATAACCTCCAAGACATGTGCCCAACCGACACCTCCTCTCATAGAACCATGTTCATCAATGGCTTCCCTTGCAAAAACCCATCAAACATTACAACATCCGATTTCAAAAATTTACAATTAAGCCACCAAGGTAGCACCGATACGTTCCTACGTTCGTCTGTAACCCTAGTCACTGCTTCTGAGTTCCCGGGGCTCAACACTTTGGGGTTATCAACGGGTCGAACCGATTTAGAAGTTGATGGGTTAGTGACGCCTCACACGCACCCAAGGTCAAGTGAAATGATATTTTTGGTAAAAGGCGTTGTGATTGTTGGGTTTATTGATACGGATAGTAAACTTTTTCAAAGCGTTTTAAGGGAGGGTGATGTGTTTGTGTTCCCAAAAGGGTTGTTGCATTATTGTATGAATAGTGGGTTTGAAGATGCGATGTTTTACTCGGTGTTTAATGCGCAAAATCCAGGAGTTGTTGATATATCGAATGCTATGTTTGGGGATAAAGCGTCTGAAATGGTGAAAATGGCAATGGCGAAATTGGTTTCGCTTACTAAAGTTGAAGATGTTCCTGTGGATGATGGTTATAAGAATTTTTATGATGAACTTTAGAATTATAATGTTGGGTTTGGTTTTTTTGGATTTTGGTGCTTATAATGTGTCATGTGTGTGTATATGAATGGATTGATATATTGGCATATGTATATGCTTCTTAAAATGAAATACTTCAATTTATTGAATTTGTTTCGAGTTTATGTGGTTGTAGATTGTATTCGGTAGACTGAATCATTTAATATTAATCAGTTAGAGGTTAGGTATTACCGTTTTAGAAGAAAATGCTAATATTTTGGATAATTTCCAAGTTTTGCACAAATGATTTTAGGTGTGAGCATCCAGACCGATGGACGTTGATACTGGTTTTAAGTTGTCGGGCCGATTATTGGTTATTGGTTTTACACTATATTGGTTCCGGTTTTTTACCGTTTCGGTTTGTCGGTTCCTGTTTTCGGACCCGTTGGACCGGAATTTTAAGAAGCATAATCTTTTTCAAATCTTTTATCCTAATCCATGTAATATTATTTCCATCGGTTCTCCCCTCCAATTTCATCCCTAAGTCAGGGCATCAAAACCGAAATGTTTTCATTTTTTCTACATATTGTGTAATATGTGAAAATCTTTCCCTAAGACCCTAACATGAGGTTTTGTGTTTGTCACATATTCATTGAGTTATATAGTCTTACAAAGATGAAGACGATGTATCTCATCTAAACCTATGGATAGCAACTGCTTCATCGACACCATATGCATCACATGTTGTACCGGTCAAAAAACCAGAACACTTAATCGGTCTGGTCCACGGTCCGTTGATTAGAGCCGGCAAAAATCGACCCAACCTACCAACCTAATCCAAAATTAGCAGGTTGGTTGAGATTTTAACACATTTACTTTAAATGGGTCAACCCGTCTGATCTGTTTAGTTAAATAGGATAGGTTGCGAAAAAGTCTCAATCCGTTTTCAACCCACCAATCCTTTTAACTTTAATATATGTTTAATTTAATATTTATTTGAATATTATCATGTATTAATCGAAGTATTAATTTATAAATTAAAATATTGTATTATTATTTGTATTTTAAAAAAATGTAATCTTAATTCTCATCTTTTTTCTTATCCCCAAAAAATACTAGCTACTTTCCAAAATCCCTTTGAAATTAAATATTGTTTATATTATTTCATCAATTTATTCAAATTTGTAAATTGTGATTGTGCTATTATTATACTTTGAAATTTTATCTATATTTGCAATTGATTTGTACAGTATATCTTTAGTTAATGTATTTAATTTTTTGATTTTAAATAAATACCTCAAGTTTAACTCATTTATTTAATAGATGGGTCAACTCGGTGATAACCTATTTATCTATAAAGTTGGGTTGGATTGAAAATATCAACCCATTTAAATAAATAAATTAGGTTGATTGGGTTGATATTTTAATCCCAATTCATAAATAGGTTACACTCATCACCTCTACCTACCATTGATCCCTAAATGATTTTCTAAGTTAAGAGACAACATTAAATTTAAGGGAATTGAATTGATGTTTATTTGATACATGAATAAACACCTTTCACAATAGAAGGTGTATATAAATTATAAAGGTTTGACTAACATATAACTTTTTTTTATTTATTTAAATTATTATAAAAGTCTACCGAACTTAAAAGTCGGTAATGTATAGATTTTCAAACAAATTTATTATTGTTTTGGTGTTTAAACGGAAAGACTCGTATTTGATTCAAACGAGCAAGACATGAGCCATTTCGCCATTAAAAAAGAATGATATTTGTCTGATTTATATGAGCCGAGACATTTTATATAAATCACATGGCTTAATAAGACAGAATGTGAATATTAGTCACAAAAGAAGTTAAAAGAAAGTGATGGGTTTAATTCAAATTTTTAAGCTTCAACTCTGAACCTGTCTTTGTTAACCTTTTCTGTTTTGATTTTTCTTGCTCCCAACCCCATGGCTGCATTTTCTCTAATTTATCTTTTTGTATACTTTTCTAAAAAGCTTTACCTAATTATTGGAAAAAAAAGAAAAAGAAAAAACAAACTAAACTATCGACAAAATTTAGCCAAAAATAATGAAATAACCTAAATAATTATTAATTTTGCAGGACCCAATAAGGAAATAACCCAAATAATTATTAATTTTGCAGGACCCAATGTGAGATGGGTGAAAAGAATGCCAAATCTTTTTAAAATGCCTAAAAAGATTTCGTTTTGAAAAATAAAAGAATTAAAATTCTGCGAAATATATTTCATTCTGTTACATTTTTCATGTAAACCAAAACAAATTCATCACTGTCAATTTTTCATATTTTTATGAAAAAACATGATTTTGTTAAAGATAATATTTTTTTTTTGAATTTTTATTTGTTTTTTTTGTAGAGATATTTAAATATTATTTTCACCAGTGTTGTAAAAATTATCACATGGATAATTTATATAATTTTTTTTTTCTGATTCTGATACAAAATTTTATCTATTCAATAAGCTATAAATCATTATAATCAATCGGTTTGGCTCCTAAAAGTACAATTATTGACTCTTGGATAATCATAACTCGTAACTCGGTAAGTATCACACAAAGACCAACCAAGACAACTGACTCTCCCACTAGGCCACTAATTCTCTTCACAAACAATGAAACAATCCAAAGTCACCCATCATCATAGATGAAATTATTTTTCTCAGAAAGAAAGATATAATCATAACTCGTAGGTATCTAGAATTTTTTTTTGTATTGAGAATCTTGTGCTCGAAATATAATGAAACTAAGGAAATGAACAATCATTATCGACGTCCAGATGTTGACAAGGTATTCCAGGATACACATGGCCGGTCCTAAAAAATGAAATATTCTTAAAGGCCCAAGACGAACAAGAAAAAAAGGGTCCTTATTTTTATTATAATTTTGTATTTTTAAATAAAAATATATAATTAAAAAAATTAGACCCTGTGCAGCTACCCACTTTGCCCTCCCTCTAAGCCCCATAAGGATACATAACTTGTATACCTAAGTTGGTAACCGTGATATTAGAATAATGTATATGTAAGTATTTAGAATATTAAAATATAAAAAAATATCCTTGTTATTGTAGAATAATTTTTCCGGGTGAATAAATATTCCATTCATTGAAGCTATATTAAATACATAATTACACGTGCCTATGTTAGTTATAGAGGCTAAATATAAATATTTGGCTCCACTAATTAATATCCTAAATACACTTAAACAACTACGTGTAGTTTTATTGGGATGTAAACGGTGAACGTTCGAGTTGGATTGAAAATCTACTAATAACTACAACGTGAATTATTCAGTGAAAATGAGCACCCAAACACGACCACGAATAAAATGAAAATCCATATATATCTAGTTATCTACTTAATACATTGGTGTTGCATTGGATTCATAGAAAGGTAAACCATATTAACATTGCCACAATACACAATGATAACTTTGTTGAGAGGATAGTGAAGTTTTGGGAAAAAAGCTTTTGAATTCTCACAATGCTATTATGTGAGAATGATTAAGATAATATGATGTTTGGTAATGTGAATACATTCAATCCCACATAACTTTTATCATTATTACACATTCTCACCAGCTAAATTGTCTATAAGGGTAGTATAGACTTTTATGATACTCATTTTTTCAAAATGTTGTCATAATGGGTTCTTGATAATCGTATTCTATAAGAATGAGAACGAATGAATAACGATGTGTGTGAACAATAATGAATGAGAACTAGTGAGATTGCATGATAATGACAATAGTTATGTGAGGTTAAACGTATTCACATTACCAACCAATATATTTTCTTAGTTATTCTTACATAATAACACTATCCTTACATGCCCGCACAATAGATGTCATCCACATTTAAACATAGTGAAAGAGATGATTTTAAGGAGTTAGTTGAAAGATTGGAAGTAAATTTGAAGGCAA